AAATAGCTTTAAAGAAGGAAAAAGCAAGCACTTAGGAAAACTATCAAGCAGAAGGAAGGAAGGTTAGGTATGGAGTAGAGGGAGTAGAGGCTGATGGAGGAAATAAAGAGAAAAAATGACAAAGTGTAAACAAGTGGTGAAAGGAGGGACTATAGAAAGACTGACAACGTAAAGGGGTGAAATAAAACATGATCTCTTATGCAGACGTTCATGATTAGGAAAGGTTATTTCTCCTTCATTTTTATTTCCTTGGCAGAGAAGGGTGAGCTGTAGGAGGAGGAAATTAAGTGTTTGGTACTGGTGTTGATGGAAACTTTTGTTTCAGCTGCAGCAGGGCAAGAATTTCCCCTGGTTGGGCCCAGGTGAGGGCTTACAGAGCAGTGGTATCTGTGTTGGAGGCAGAAGCCCTTAATATTAATTTATCAGCCTGTGCCTAGGGAAAGCAATGTTAATGAGGCTTTAACATATTTGCCACTGACATGTGACATGCATCTATAAATATTCAAAGAATGACAGGATCACTTAACCACTCTTTCTTTGTTTCAGCCTCAGTTCCTATCCCAAACTGAACTGGAAAATTTTTTATGGACTTTGGCTTGTCTCAGTTAAATTAACCCCCACCCCCCCGCCCCTCTTTCTATACCTCCTTTCCTGTCTATTTCTTCTGAATCACTCTCTCACACTGTGTCCAGGCTGTTTTCAGTTCTGGCATTGAACTGCAGCTTGTCACTAAAGGCATCCTGGCATGTACATAAAAGGAATTTAGAGGTGGAAATGACCACCAGTTAAATCACCTCATCCTCCCTAAAGTCAGTGTGGGATTGTTCCTGCAGCATACTCTCAAGGGCTTGGGGTTTTAGTGCTTTGAGCAACAGAAATTCCACCTCCACCCCCTTTGGGAGGGGTGCCTGAGGGCTAATAGATCACACTCTTATGCAATTTTTCCTGATACATAGCCTACATTTTCCTTTGTTTGATGTCTTTACTCTGTTATTCCTATTTATAACTAGTGCTGGGTGAACCCTAGGTGGTTCTGAGGTTTATTTCTGTTTAAGAAGGCATGAAAAAAGGCAGTGACTAGTCCATATTCTTTAAACCTTTTGGTGCCCTCCTGACAGGCTCCGTTATTTCTTCCCTAAAACTGCCCAGGACCCAGTAGAAAGCCTCATTTCTCTCTATCCCAGGAGGGTAAGATGTTGGATACTGGCCAGTCCTCTGCTCTGGTAAATCTCTTCTGAGAACAGAGACTAAAGCCCTGATCTTCTCAATCTCTAATATCCCTTTTTCTAGTCATTACCTAGTAGCCTAATTCCCCCAGTTTAATTTCCTGTACTCATCAGGCTGTTGCCATTCTTTTTGTTCTCTGACCTAATTGAGGGAATTAATCAATCCCTTTTCATTGGACCCATTCCTTTGATGCCTGAGCACAAAAGGTGCTTCTTGAATATTTTTTTCTTAAGAAAGAAAGGTATTAAGCTGTTATTTCAGCTGATATCCCATAAAACACTGCAGTAATCCAATGGGAGCAAGTGGGATCCCTTCCCTTGTTCTGAAGATATTTTGCAAGAAAGGATTCGGTCAGGGGCTGTGAATTCTTCCTCTAGACATTCCATCATGCAAATGGAGACGAGTACCGCAGAGGAGTCACAGCATGTTCCACACTTTAAGGCTGCCCAAACAATAGTTCAACATAATCATTACTGGCAATCATTTTTAGCAGGGGCATATTACACATGTATGCAAGTTCAATGACAAACAGTGCTGTCAGGACTTTCTCACTATCTGAAATCCTTCATGAGAGCAGCTTTCTCCTTCTTCAGATGTCAGAGACATCAGTATGGTGCTTGATTCAGGCATATAATTTGGCCAGGACACGTAAATTACACTCAGAGGGACTGCTCCTGCTACTGCCTTTTTAATAAATACTAGTTACCAGGGCTGTAATAAGCCTCAGATCATATCTTTTGTCTGTTTGAAGAGGGATTTAAATCCACAAATTCCTGTTGCTGTCAGAATGGCCCCTATGGTAGTGTATTGTCTGTCTTCTCACTCCTTCCCTTTGAAGGCTAAATAACAATAAAAAAAATTTTCTGCTCCAGCAAGAGAATTAAGAAGTGAGAAATGCCTGCTGTAGTCTAGTGGTCTAGGTATTTGCATTATGGGGAAATTATTTTAAAATGCCTTTACTTGAGGCATTTTTTAATACAACAGTAAATGAGTTCAACAAGTCACTGGTTCACAAATCGCATTCATGTTTATATTATTCTCTTAAGAGGCAGAAAAACTGCAGTTCTATTTCTGATCCAGATCCAGGACACTGGTTTTCCCCCAGTCATACCACTACTACTCTAACACTAGGCAAGAGATAGGAAGAAGAGGCACAAGCACCGCTTCTCCTATATGTTTCGTATGGCTTAAGCATGCTATTAGCCTGTTGTGAAGCTCACAGACAGCACAGTAGTGGTTGATCTTTGGTGCTTGTTCACATAGTGAGCATGAAGAATAAAGTAGGCTGGGGAAATTGTCTGCTTTGGAACTGTAGAAATACAGGTGGGAGAAGAATAAGGCTTCCATAGACATGAGCTTCCTATGTCTGCTGTCCTGGACAAACATAAATCCATGGTTACAATTTTTGCCATCAGCTAGTTTCTAAATGATATATACATGTATCTAAAATTTGAAAGCAGAGGTTTGTCATGTAAATTGAATGGCAGTGTCAGGAAGTAATAGGCATTGATAATAAACCACTGCACTGCCAGAACAAGTAGCTGGACAGAGTAATTATTTATAGAAAGGGAAATTTATAAGTTTTTTTTTTATTTTTCTGAGGCAGAGGACTGAAGACCATCAAACCAACCCTAAAATGACTCAGGAAAATTTACCAAGAGTAGCATATGTACACAGGGAGACCCTTTTTGGCATTACAGACTGTAAATTATGGTTATTCCTATGAGGCAACAAAAGAGGTTCTGTCAGTTGTACAATTACTTTTTATTGGCAGTGTTCTTTCAACTCAAGAAAACATTGGCTGAAGTTCAAGACCAAGATTTGGCTCAAATGCCACCATAATTTTTCAGAAATGTGATGAATGTTCCTCAAGAAATAGTTTCCTAAGAAAGCCACAAAAATGTGTCCAGTTAGGTTACAGGATATCTAGAATGATATCCAAAAGTTGCTACCACTGAAGATCAATTGCTGTAAGTAATTTCACCAAATGAGATTTTTACCTGTCAGACTGGCTGATACTTTCTGACAAAAAGATACCAAACACATTTGGATGAACTGTTTCATAAATATTGATGTATGTATACATGTACACAATTCATCACACATATCTCAAACATTCATTTTGGCAGATAACCTATTAAAAAAAGAAAAAAAAAAATAATCTAGTGACAGCCAAAGAAAGTCCTGCCACTGTGAAGGTAATGAAGTGTTAGACATGGACTAATAGCTGAAGGTCATATACTGAACACAAATTCAGCCAATAATCTCTCATGCCATATTCTCAAACCTGAGTGAAAACTTTATTTTATTGAAGCTGATGAGATTTTTTTCTATTGCTGTCAATGAAGGCAAGATGTCAAAAGTTTCTCCTCCTGCCTTCCTTGATGATGCATACCTACAATATAGCAGCAGTAAAACATGTATCATTTCCGTTCTCAGTTCTAGCAAAGTTAGAATATTAATAAACATTAGTAAACTAAGCTTTAGTTTATCCTGAATAGAATCTTAAATTGCTAGAGAAGACTGGAGATGAGACATGTAAAATGTGCACTTTTGAGAAGATCACAAAACACCTGTAATGATTACTGCAGTTATCCAGAACACAAAACACTACTTGTACTGTTTTTACTAAAATGATTTATACAGAAATACTGGAAAATTACTGGATACTTCCAGATAATTCCTGTTTGCAATGGGATGAAGACATAAAAACACAGTCATCAAGAAAAAGCAGAAGAAATAGTAAGTTCTATCTGTACAACGTTCATACAATTAGAAGTGTAACTCTGAGGAGGCAGATTTAAAATCCTCTCAATTCTAACATATATTGAGAATATCTTCTACAATTTTGGAAAGTTAATCTCTCTGTACCTTTAATCAGCTGTACAAACTGGTAATATTAATTTCCTGCTTGGCAGTATTGAGTTAATTAAATTTCATGACATCTTTAGAGATTTATCAGTGAAAGACATTGCAGCTAGGAAAGTAGTTCAACCCCTGCCTGACTGAATGGGCCTCTCCAAGCCTGTATTTTTCTTTCCTGGGCTGCAGAAAGATTTTAGGTTCAGTTCACTCAGAGGATGTTTCCATCTCTCTATCAACTCTCCAGTGAATTCTTGGTACTTGTAGTTTTGGTATGAGTGTGATCAGATACTTCTTACTCATACTTGCTTCCAAGTTATTTTAGATTATAAAGGCCTGGCATGCTCTCAAGCACAAATCTTAAATTTGGCAACATGGCTACAACAGACACATGCATACAGAAAGCAGAAGGCTAGACAAAACAGGGTAATTTGAAGACTATATTTAATAGCACAGGAAAGAAACTGAATTAAATTCCCCCAATTTGATAAGACAGCTGCAAACAAATGAACTTGTAGCTTATTAAAATGTGTAAGTTTGCCTCTCCGAAGGCTACAAAAATTAATGGTTAATAGTTAAGGTTCCAGTGTATTTAAGTAATTTGGTTCCTGTTTAATTGAATTTCTGGATGACACAATAAATAGAAAAATATCCAAAGTTTGTTTATACTGATTGAAAACTTTCCCAGACCTTAAAATACCAGGGGGAATTTTCTTCCCCCAAAAAGGTTAGATTGATTCCTGATTTAATCAGTTGCTAATCATCATTACAATCAGGGGTTTATATGGTGCCTTAGACCCAAAATAACCCTCCTGTTATTAACTCCATACCATCTGATAGTACCCTCTAAATGAAACAGACCAAAAATGTAGTAAACAGGTGACAAAAGACACCACAGAAACAGGTGGTAACATATTCCTATGTCTTTAATGGAAAGATTTTGCTACAATTTAGGTTATGTGATATTCTTGTATTTTTAAAATGTGTGAAAGAAAATGCAAGAATAAAAAGTCAAAGGACACCAATGAATGTAGATATTTTAAATGACCAAGCTGTAAAAGAAATACAATACATTACACAAATAAACAAAGGTTATATCCACAGTCATGAATACACACTCTTCTCTACACAAAAACAACAATAAATAAAATCACATTATATGCAGATAGTTCTACTTACATCAGTACAATATACTGTGCAGCTTTCCATTTGTTTTCTACTAGACTGGTACTAGGTTTCTCTGTGGTCCAGTATTTTTACATTAATAATGAACAGTATCACCGAAAAAAGGGGACAGAGTTAACATCCGCAGTGTATCCTGAGTCCTCTTAGTTTTGTGATAATTACACTTTATGCACAAGAAACATCAAATTCTACCCGCTGACTTCATCCTGCCACTCTACTCAAGTCTTCTCAGTACTTTTAGACCATCACAGTAAAGATGACTTTGTTACTAGGTAAATACCCAGCCTAAGGGCATGGTACACCCTGAGCAGGTCCTATGTACCACCTAAATCCTGTTTAAATTTTAGGTAAGGGGGCTATGTGAAATTTAAAAGGTGAATAAGCTTTCTGCTGAGTCTCTCTGAAAGGAGATATTAAACAAAGACAGCATACTGTGCAGGAAGAGCTTGATTGCATCCTCCATAGAGTCAACAGTATCATCATGGAAGTATAATCAACCCCCAAGCACCTTCCCTCTTCTCTCTCCCTAACCCAACTGCACAGGTATTTTCCCTATATTCCAAAGAGATCTTTTCATCCCTTGTATCCTATACTGCAGAAGTCATCACAACACCTGCCACAAAGCTACATCAGGGAGATACTAAATATGGGAGGAAACATTTATCATCTCACATGGCACCAATATAAATGACCACTGATTAGTAACTGTGATATTGGCTTTTCAGTGGAGGCTCGTTCCTTTTTTTTTATTCCCAAGAGAAAAAGAAGTCCAGATCATCACCAACTATGAAACCACACAGCTATGCTCATTAGGTCTGCTGATGGTTTTGTGTAACACTAGCAAAACCTCTGTTCATAGTTTGTCGGGGAGAATTGTGTGTTCCCTGTGCATACCAGCTGAGATTACAAAAGAAACCATTAAAACAAGATTTTTTTTTAAATACCCTTTTTGGTACATTTTCTTTGCTTGCTCAAGTGTCCTCTAAAAACATTCACATGACAAACACCAAGCAACAGTTCACACCGAGTGGATTTTAACCTTTCAAAGATGTATTACCTAATGAATCCACAAAAGATATCTTAAGTACTATAGCTTAACAGACATACTTTAACGTGTCAGGTTATTTAGAATATTTTGACTTTGATGTAGAATATTAACTTAGTGGTTAGTGAGAAATTTTGAATGAACTTGAAGCCTCTCCTTTTGAAAGCTAGTTTTATATGCTGTAAATTGGGTGTATGTCAGTTAGGAGTCATTCTTAAAGGTAAATTCTGGAATAAGTAAATAGCATATTAAAACAGTCTATGTAATGATACACTGGACATGTTTAAACACTAGTCCAAGAAAGCCTCAAAGCCATGGCAGCATTACCTTCTTCATCGAAACCAGCAATAACCTCATAAAAACACCAACAATAACCTTTATCCTTTCTTCCTCTACGGGCGAGATAAAGGGAGAGCTGCTTTCATGCCAGACTCAAGGCTTCACTGGGGCAAACTGCAGTGCTTAGGCTTCCTGTCATTCTCTAGAAGAGAAAAGACACTACCAGAGTCTACTGCACAGCTTGCTGACCCCTGTAGACAGCCAGGTCTGAGGTCTCTCACAAACAGCTATTTGTTTCAATTTCAACAATCATTTTCCATCAGTCTCAGAGCTCAGATGTTAAAAGGTATATGAGAATGGATACTGCACATTGCCTCAAGCAATGTGAATTCATTTCTGCCTCTAAACAGGGATATGCACAGTGCAAACACTTCCATTCTTCCACTTGAGAGGTTTCACATACACACAAATCTTGTGCTTTCAACAGCAAGAAAGAAAGGGGAGGAGACATACACAACATATCTGAAGGCAAAACCTTTTCCATCATGTCCTTAAAAATATATTCCAAAAAGTAAGTTTGTATTTATTTGTTTCTAAAAAGGGTTAAAACTGTCTTTTACAAAACACGCACTTTGATGAAATTTGTCCCTTCATCACTCACTGTTGTGAGACAAGTTACGAGGGCATGTTGCTGACCAACAGAAAAGGCAATGTACCATTACAAACTTGTATTTCTGTTCCCATGTGCCCTGCTTTGGGGACAGTGGCCACTAGATTTGATGTCAATTGTATAGCAACAACAATTAGGGGACAAAAAAAAAAAAAAAAGGCTGACATCACCTGACATCATCTCACCATGCTTGGACTAGTGCATTTTCTGTGAGCCCAGTGGCACCCAGGAATCATTTTAGCTTTAATGAGACTGCTTCTACAACCACAATCTATGGTGCCAGCCTTAGGTGTTTTTAAAAGGAAAGAATGCCAGCTGCAAAATTCAGATTAAACTTCAGAAAGTTTTTAGTCAGTCTGATTTTTCAACTTTGCTTGGTTGAAAGTCAGGCAATATCAGACAATTCTGGGCCTAGATCTCTGATAACAGCTGGTGTGGCCACGGGCCAACAAGAGATGTGCTGGCAGCTAAGCAACACAGTGGCAATGAACAATGGCTAAAATTATGTAAAAGCCACCTCTCAGTGAAGAGGGAGCATTTCTGACTAAATGAGGGAAAATGGCTGTCTCTTTTCAAAGCACTTCTGAAGTTAGAGAAAAAACAATGAAAAAAAATGGGGAATTCAAGAGTGTTCACTCTACCCTGGGAGAAAGTGAGGAAAACTAACCTCAACTGTTTTATTTAAAGAAACAGAACAGCTACATGGCTACTCTAAAGCACAGAGGAGGGTAGCGAAGGATGTGGAACTGTCTTGAGCTCCGGAAAAGGTGGACTGAATTGCCAAAGAAATTTATGACCAGGACTATTAGCTTCCTGTCTTTGATGTCTATTCTTGGCTTTCCAGGAGCATTATGGCATTCATGAGGTGAAAATCACACTGGAGCCAAGGTCAGTTAAGGCTGATGCAGCCTGTTCTACTGCAAAGCTGAGAAATTCACTCTGAACTGCTTCAAGATGCCGAGTATAAAGCCTGAAAATGCTTCACTGAGGGCCTGAGTTTACTTCTACTGAATCAATTAGAGGGTTTTTTCATCAGCTTAATGAGAGTGTGATTACATCTACAGGCCAAAACATGAATCAGAGATCAACCTCCCAGTACAACATGCTGTCAAGGAGCACACTTAACTTGTCCAGCACAAATGTTTTCAAAGCAATAGCTACACCATAATAATTCTCCATTAAAAACCAACAGAATATTTTCAATAATGCAATAAAGCATTTCTTAAAAACAAACTGAAAATAGATCAATAAAATTTATTTTCAGAAGTGAATGAATATTAACTCTTTAATAAACTGAATTCTGGCCACAGTCTTGCAAGGTGCACAGCACTCTCAATCAAAAGTTTTAGCAATGAACGAATGTCTTCAGCACTCAGCTGGGTTTGGTCTTCAGTGAAGCACATCAAAGAAGGAACTGGTAATTGACTAGTGATGGTGGTAGTCATAGACAACTGAGAACACATAAACTATCCAGAAGAATAATCTCCAGAACTACCAGTGGCCTAGGTCAAAGCATCTAGGCATCTGACTAAAATCGTGGGTTTCAGCATACTAAATCACAGGTACTATTGAAAGTTTTGCTCCACCTTTATCAACTTGCAGTGGACACGTATGCATTGAAGATAAGATGGTGAAAGTCATAGTATCCTAATGAAGAAGATTCTGAGGTGAATCAGCTATTAAGATGAGCAATATTTGGTAATTAAAAAAAAGGCTAAATTAGCAGAATTTGTCAAGTTTTGACAAACAAAAATATGACGCCACTAGTTCAATTTAAATTTAATATGCACAACTGTAAGATTTAGCAATAAACATATGGCCTATGGGGCCAACCTTACCCCAATTCAAGCACATGGCAAGATTCTCTTTGTTTCAGACATGACCAGGATCACACCCTTCGGTCCCAAGTGAGCAAAACACTTAGAATCTGAAGTTGAGCATATTTTATGTGTGTTCTAAACTGCTGAGCTGAGTCAAGGCCCTTCTTGTGCTGCTCTGTAACACAGAGGTATGTTTGTAATATGGGCAATTTGTTGAAGCCAAAAATGTAGGTTTTGAAAACTCTTTTGAGAATCAATTATTATTATTTTGATTAGACATTCCCTTACAGAGTTTGAAGCTTAAACATTGTGGCATTGAGCTAACGCAGATGAACCAGAAAGGAAAAGTGCATTAGCTGGTGAAGAATCTCTCCACTAATAACCTAAACTCAAGGCAGTTTTTGATCGACGGTCCACAGAAGACCTGGGAACTATTTGTGAGAGGCCTGTGAAAGGCAGCTAAGAGCAAGTTTTTTTATGCTATACAGGAGTCTACTTATGTGAAATATCATATATGATCTCCACACTTCCATGGGAAAAAATGCACACGTAGGTGTGCACCAATTTAGAAAGATTAAAACCCACTGATCTAAAATGTTCTAATGTGCAAGAAAGGTTCACCTCTCTTGGGAGGTCCTAGGATGCAAGTTGTGGCTAGGCCTCCATCAGCATCCCACCAATAGACATCTTATAAAAACACTTCTTGATATCATGATTATAAATCCTACATAACACTGGAGATCAGAATTATGTATTTCTAATTAAAAAGTAACTTTTCACTATACTGTTTTTGTAAATATGTTTAGTTATAGTAAGATGATGCAATAAAAAAGCTGTCTTAATAAATTTATTGTCCCAGCCAGATCTCTGGCTCATATTTTCTGGACTGACCTGACTTGCATGGCGCAGGAAAAATGCAGATCTACACTACTGTCTTGCTCTCTAATTAGTGACTGTTTCAGTACTAGTTTACACTGCAAGTCAAGTCATAATAAATATCATTTTGAAAGAAGTTTATGCTTCAAATCGTACCCTCTTTTCTCTACATATTTAAAAGTCTTCCCTTTTTCTGTGGCAAAGTAGTCAAATGGATCAAAGAAAGTAAAAACACTGAAAGGTATATTTGCAAAACAAGAAGTAGATCAAAATTCCCTTGGAAATTATTTTTAAAAAAACAAACCTTAATCATGCCCAGAGGCTAGACAAACTCAAATGCTCGAAAAAAAAATCCAAAAACTAATCAGGAAGTCTTTTTTTCTCCCCAACTCCACAGCAGTATGAATGCTGCTCTAGCCTACATTCTTCTCTGGCGTCCATGGGATAAGGAGGTTACTTCAGAAAACTGTCCGCTGGCTGCAGTGTTACTTTGGCTAAGGCACCTTTGCAAAAGTCATACAAGCCCAGACTGGGAAACAGGATGATGGAAATCTACTGTGTGAACAACAGCTATTACAGTCAGCCCTAAAGACACTAAATCTACCTGGTCCACATCCACCACCTATACTGGAGCTGCCCTGTCAGCCAGGAAGCCCTGCCCTCTGGCTGCCTGGGACATTGGACAATATTTCACAAGGGCAGGTGACAAACCCTTGCATATGCTAAGAGACAAGTGAAACATAAGAAAAAAAATTCCAAGGAAATATTCCATGGGGTATTTCCCCATTAACAAATAAAAGGCAGCAGAAAGAAGACAGAGCCAGATTTCACTCTTCCTTCACATCCAGCTACTCAAATCTCAAATGGTTTCTCTGAATTGGCACTCTGGCTTCTCAGAGCCTAAAAGTTTTGTAGAACACAGGCTTCAGTGCCAGCTTTGAGATTAATTTTCAAGTCTGACTATGACTGCTGAGACCAGAAAGTTCTGCTAATGAAATCTGAATAGGATAAACTAAAAGATTTCACACACTGGAACCACAGTCATAGCTGGATTTTCCCACAGACAATATTTTTATGGGTCTTCACCACATTTATAGTATGTACTGTTCACTTCCATTTGCTGACCAGAAAGCGCAGAGCTCTCCTTTGTCTAGCATAAACTAACCTGTCAATAGGTAATTCATCATAGATTCAATTTTGGTCCTAGTAAAGCCAATGGCGAAAGTCCTAGGGATACTGATGGCAGCAGGATTAAAGTCAGCCCTAGAGTAGTGTTCTACCATCCTGAAACCTGAAGGTAGTTCTTTGTGTGTTTAGTTGTATACACATGAACAGTCCCACGTTAAGACAATGAGACTAACTATTTAACATGTGAAATGAACATTATTCTCAGGATCAGGGCCATCATCACATAGACAATGTGCATTTATATTGTTTAAGTAAGTATTTGAATGTTGCACATGACTGAAGAAGAAAGTGGGGCCACTTCTCCTCCCCTAAATACTGGTTCTAAAATGTATCTACAGCTGTTGACTTTCCCTGCCTGTTACTCCTATCATAAAAAATATGTCTTCAAAACATCCTCTCCCTTTTAAACCTACCAAAGCAAAAATAGATACTTTAATAGAAAAATACAAGATAAAAAAATATCCTAAAAATAAAATGGTAGCATGGAATGTCATTTTTACACAAAAAAGATCCCCTTTTTGAATTGCCTCAGCTATACAAACACTTTCATATTTACAATTTTGGATGTAGTCCTGTGCTCACTGAAGTTAATGGGATTTTGCCATTGACTTCACTGGGAACAGGAGCAGGCTCTACAAGGACTGTATTTACTTCTCTGAAAAGTCATGGCAGTGGAGAGAAAAGAGCATGATAAAACACATACAAGACTGAGGAATTAGCCAGTCTCTCTCCAGAGGCCTGATTGTTTTCTTTCTCTCACTATTTCACACCACACTAAAACTCTTCATCCTTCACTGGAGTTTTTTCTAACTCCCAGCACCTAAGAGAATCAGTGCTTTTGTCTGTGATACTACACAAACAAGGAAATAATAGTTTGTGTGTGTTTCCACCTGCCTGACTTCTCAGTGAAGTTAATTACACCCCAGTGGAGTTAATTACACCCAAGTGCCAGTTCCCTCCCAGAACTAAACTCCATATGGCCAATCTTGTATCCCCTTTAATCAATGACAATGATTCAGTGATGTAGATCATACCCCAGATGAATCCCTTTTTTCCTTTTGACAGCAACCAGCACATGTGCCTGTGAAATAATATTCGATAGCCATGGGTGAGATGCAATTAAGGAAGGAGGTGGTAGGAGCTAAAAAAAGAAGGGAACAGAATGAGGCATTCCCCATCAACTAAGCCCAAATCTGCTGTCCTTAATATATGCCTTAAGAAATACTGTCTTTATATATTAAGTACATCCTATAACATCAAACTGCATCATTTTCTTTTTTCATGAGATGAAAGGCCATGCGGCATAATGTGATTAGTAAATCATTCCTGAGCTTTTGAAAGAAATTAAGACAAAATTACTGCTTAAAAGAGTGAGTTCTTCAAGAGCCTCTTCTTTTTACACTGATGTCTTTGGTTGTGTCCTCTTCCCTAATTATTTTTTTCCCTAGGAAGAATGGAATTATTCTTCTTCTTTATGCAGCAGAAAAATGAGACCTAATGGAGTCTTCACGTAACTGCCGATGTTTCCCCATGTTACACTCCTCCTGTCGAGTCCGTCTCTCAATAGTTATTCTGTATTTCTTTCTGCATGAAAGGAGAGGAACAGAGTGAGAAATTCTTCTCCAGCTACAGAATAACAGGACTTCACTTATAAAGAATGCCTGTAGGGGACAGCTGGGTGCCAGTGAAAAATGAAATGTGGCAGAATGTGAAACCCTGGTCAAAGATTAAAGTAGTTTGCCTCAAAACATTTTACCCAGGCTCAAGAATGACTGCTAATTTCTATACGGCAGTCTCAAAGCACGAAGACACAGACATTTTCTTCTTTGAAAACTTCTGATCTAAGTGATTAGGAAGTTTTTGTGAAGTTTCATGTGAACTGTGTCACATCACTGCTTTATATTGATCAAAGCCAAATTTCTTTCCAGTATATGGGGGGGGGGGGGGGGGGGGCACTTTCTGCAGAGTTCAAACAACAGATATGACTATTCAGTTGTGTTTCTCACTGAAACTATATATTAACCAACTAATCCTCCCATCTCCCTCTGAGAAAGCTACTATGTTTATAATGTCAGAGGAGGTAGTTTGATGAATTAAGAGGGATGTAGAGGATAGATAAGAAATAAATACAATTGCTCATGCATCAGACACAGTTTTTCCTGTGTGTCTTCCTCTAGGGCCTTTTGAAGAATTCTGTTACGTTACTCTATACGTCAAACAAGCCCTCTGACTGCCTTTAAGTTTCCCCCTTAGTACCATCTCCCCCCAAAATCACATGTTTATTTTATGCATTTATGCTTCTGCTCAGTTTCAGGACCAATTTTTCAGAAGGGCATTAGTCCAGCCCCATGTGCATACAGTACTGCTTGTCCAGAAGATGCATGACATAAAGCTCATATGCCAAGGAAAGCTCTGCTCCACTTGCACGTGGCAGGAGTCTGAGCTAGATAGATAGCAGTGGAACAATTATTTTCAAAAAGCCAAGGTTTTAATTTGGGTAACATGACTCATTAGAAAGTGGGAACCTACAGGTTCTGAAAAGATTCCCTAGACATTTGTGGCTCTAACAGTAGGCTCCAAAACAACTTGAAAAACCTATGTTTTTTACTTCATTTATATATTTTCAAGTCAGATACTCCCACAGGTCAGAGCATGCAGAGTAGTCATGCATACACAATCAACAGGTATGCATTTTAAAAATGTAACTATTTAAGTTTAAATCCTTTCAAGGCTACATATCAGAACTACTACCCAGATCTTTTAACAGTTTGCATGCATAGTCAAAACTATGTTTGCATAATCATTTGTTGTAATTACAGATCCAAATGAGATGTAATCAGAAGGTACATAGACAATTTGAAAGGTACAGAAGCTGCAGGTACAAATTACTTCCAGGCGTACAACTGCTAGACCTACATTTTCTGAAAATCTGACCCATACACCCTGGTATTTTATGTTTCATATGTTTATTCTATTGGTGGAATTAGAGGGTTGTCCCTGTTCCTGCTCTGAGTGAGTCATAAGGATGACATGAACTGCACCAAAAAATTATCATTTCTCCCATAAATAAATAAGATGAGGTGTTGAGCTCAGGTGTGTACATCTACTTTTACAGACACTCACCTTTGCTCACATGGATTTCCAATCCAAATCTTTGTGTCAGATGACTAAGAGTTTAAGTCCCGTTCCTACAATGATGCTTTGCATACTTTTATACCAGCCCAGGATATGTATTCTGCCTCATTCTTGTCCTCACGTACCAATTCCCTCCCAATATCAGCAATGCTAAAAAACACACCTAAAAATTATCATTTGAGATTGAGAATGTATAAGAGATGCAAGAACCTCTTATGACACACAATATAAAAATAGACTTGTATTTTGTTTTTCTTTTAAAAACTGTCTTTAATAAGCCCCAGCTAACTTATCTTGTCAAACAACATATATAAGCACCAAGCACATGCAAGAATAAAATCACCCTGCAGAATTACAGTTGTAATCACCTGATGAATAAACCTGGTTCTGGGAACTTCTGAAACCCTAAAAGTGTGCTGGCGAGTTGAAGCAGTTTTTGTTTGTTTCAATTTGTTAACATTTTTTACTAAAGACGTATTTTTATTGGATAGAATTTTTTGATTCTTATAGGCAGGTTATTTCTATTCTCCTATCTGCCTTTTCTCTTCCATAGCATAAGAGGAAAAATTATAGTATATATATTAGATGCTGAACATGTATAACTAATTTATTCTGTCAGTGTAGGATCAGCTCTCAGGACTTTAGATTTGCTGACTAGCAGTGTACGAATTATTTTATTTAATCAGGAATAAAACACTGATCACCCTGCACTGACCGCAGCCTACTAAATTAAATGCACAGCTTTGAAATCAAAATGCTCTCTTATACTGAAACAAAAATCTCTTCCTAGCTTCCAGTACAATTTCACTCAACACTCAATAACTAAGCATGGTACCAGGCAAGTGATATAAATCTCTTGCATGCTCACAGCCTGAACAATTGCACTGGCAAGGAGTACTGAACAAAGAAGGCTTTCAAGGCCAGGGCACTTTACTAAAGCAACTGTGAATAACTGGAACTCACTGGAATTACTTCCATGAGTAAAGTTACTCTGAAATGTAACTGTTTACAAGATGAAGCCCTGAGTCAATAAAACCGTTTGGATATACAAAAAAGGACAATCAAAGTGTGTTCACTGTCTGCAGGAATGTTAACACATTATTATGGTACCTCTCTATCTCCCTTCGAGTGTGTGCTGTCAGGAGCTGAGAGGTTTGGATGATGAGTACTTTAAATGAATCGAGTACTTTAAATGAATCGGACTAACCTGAAAAAGTAGAAAGCCATTAGCAAGCCTGCTCCAAGCAAGGCACCCACAACTATTCCGGTAACTGCTGATTCTCCTAGACCACCTGCTTGAAAAGGGGAAAAATAAACAATCAGGGTTCATACTGAAAATTATTTGCATTCATGTATTGGTAAATACACACAACGAGGAAATGAATGACCAACATCAGATACCTAGAGCCTTTCAGAGCTCAAGACTCTGTGGAAACCTCCTCCTTAGTTCCAGTTTCTCCATGTTTATTTTTTGTCCTTGCTTTTCTTGGGGTTAAACAAGCCCCCAAGATCAGGGTCAGATGAAGATTCAATTCTAGAGATGTGACAGACAGGAATGTTTTTGGAAAACTGGACAGTTTGGTCTGAATCATAACACAGACTTGGATTACAATGACACACATAAGAGGAATCAGCACTGAATATGCCCTCAGTCATTATACCAGAAACAAACTCATTTCACCTGGTTTAACAACACAGCCCTTTATCACACAGGTTTCTTAAAATGAGTGCATGATTATGCAGCAGCTCTTCAATTATTATTTTTTTCTGAACCTAAGCTGTTTCAAGTTAAAGCCCTATGAGCTTTGCCTTGCTCCAAAATCTCGAGGTAGAGCAGGGACACACTGGCAGAAGGGGAGCCCAAGTAGGGATTGTCACTCTGCAAAATGCAGGGCAGCTGAAGAACAATGGCATTTTCATGTGGGTGCAGCCTGATCTCTTTTCCACGCCCACCCGGGGTTTGTGGAAAGGAACAGAGAAACACTAAGGAAGTTAAACTGCTCCCCCCCTGTTCATTTACCCTTCACCCTTTGAGGAGATTTTGTCTGTACATCAGGATGTGTGGAAGGAAGAAGGTGCACAGCTACATCACGCTGAGCACGGAAGGTATGGCCTGGAAATAGTCTATACAGCATGTATGCACAGGTTTTTCAGGAACTGAAGAATCACCAGGCTGCAGATACCTTTTCATTGCAGGACTAGTGATTTGTTTCCTGTGAAAAGCTAAGACCACCCTTTGCCACTGAGGCATCAGTATCTTTCTACCCTTATCTCCTTGCAATGTCCTCCTCACTACAACATGGTCTGCAAAATGAGTACACTGGAAAACAAGGACACCTTCTCTATGGAGGGTAGTCCCAGCCTTCGGGATTCACAGGTGTCACCCTACTGAGAAGCTGACTTCACTACTTCTCGGCTTTCTGGCCCCCTCGCAGTGCCTTCTCATAGCACTGAAAATCATTCTGTGCTAGCAGAACACTGCTCCCATCAGCACTGGCCTCCCCAGCTGCTAATTGTCAATATGACTATTCCCTGTTTGGGGTTTCAGTTATATCCTTCTTTCTGGCTAAAACAGATTTTACCTTTTAGCCCCTGGAAAGCCCTAAAGCCTCCAGGGCCCTGGGCTGTGCATCATGATTACTGTCATGTTTAAGTTCAGGGAAGTAATTCAGACCACGTACTACCCATGGGCTGCCAGATCTTAACTTCCCAAACAGTCAGCAGAGAGACAGAATCCTGATGTCTCAGTTGGACAACGGTGCTAAGCAACTTAATATGGACCATTATGTTGCATCACCACGTGGATTCCTCTCTCTGACAGCCTGGACAAGAGCATTAAGTCACTAAACTTACATGATTTACAAGGTGTATTGTTTGTGTGCTCTGAAACTCGGCTTTCATCTAGTCGCAGCCTGCCATGATTCCAAGGATATTTCACATTTGATCGAATTTCAAAACGCCCCTGCTTTCCGTAGTAGTCCCCGATCACCTATGCAAAAAAGAAATGAATGAAAAGATTTTTCTATCCACTTAGGGAAGTAAAACAAACAGGAGAGCGGCATCACGCACTTGGACTCCTGTAGCAGGATGTTGAACCACAGAGAATAGGGTTGAAGGGGTCTGTAGGAGGTTATGTAGTGCATGCCCTGCCCCAGGGCATATCAGCTGAACAAAAGCATTCCTGACAGATGTTTATCTAACCTGTTCTTAAAAGCCTCCAAAGATGGAGACTTGACAAATCCTGTAGGCAATTATTCTGGAATTTAGCTATCCTTACTGTCAGTGGTTTTCCCTAACACTTAACTTAAATCTCCCCTGTGGCAATTATCCATTCCTACTTATTGAATTGCCAGTGGACATAGAGACTCTTCCTTTCTGAAATATTGCTTTACATACTCACAGGCTCTTATCTGGTCTGCCCTCATGCTTCTATTCTTTATAAACACAGTTCATAAAAGTTTTTTTTAACCCTCTGATTACTCCTCCTGCTTCTCCTGCGCTTTCTTCAATTGCTCCATAGTGGGTTGAGTGCTCAGGACCGTAACACAGCTGAGTGAAAGTACCATTTCAAGTACTCTCTGTGCTGAGGCTCCTGACTACACAACTACACACTCCAGGCTGGACTTTTCTATTCTGCAAGGATCTGGAGGTACTCGATCATGTTCAGGTAAAATCTTCTTCTGAATAACCACAACAGAGCCTGTAATTCTCCACTTTGTATTTCTGCAGTTGTTGATATTTACACAGAAATGGTCTTTCATTCTTATTAATCTGGTAGCATGGACTATTATTTCAGATCAATTCTTCAAGATACTTTAGAATTACAGTCATGTTCTCAACAGTAAATCCAGGCTTTATTCAAGGTAACATGCATTGGATCTACTGCAAAATTGCAACACTAATTGTGCTAACAGTAGTAGGTCACTCGTCTGAAAATAGCTTTTTAAAAATATATGTACAGTAATAAATGCCAAATATCATAACACTGAAGTAGGCAGTAGCAATGGCAGAAGCACATCAAAACATGTATTTGACCTACCATGGATAAAAAACACACATTAATACACTAGGTGTAGAATTCAAGACACCGGTAGCTTGTTCAAATCTTTGAGCTAAATTTCATTTTGAAGGGAAAGAGTTAAAAGACATTTCCCCTGGTTAGATACACAAAGGTAGATTTCACAGTAAATAAAGGAACTAATTTCTCTCCCAGTTTTGCAACTCCAATAAACTCTTAGAAGAAAGATTTTTTTTAACATTTGTTCAAAAATATAGGCAAATTCAATAAATTGAAAAAAGTAGAGGGAAAAAAATCTCAGAGATCATTTAGAGGCAGAAGACAAATACTTAAGAGACTGTTTAATTTATGAAACAGGAGTGGGAGGTTACTAAAGTTATCAGGGCTTATTAAATATGAAAGCATGCAGGAAGGCTTAAGAAGAACAATCAGCTATAAGCAGCAACCAAACGCATTCAGATCAGAAGCAGGATTTTTAATAAGCAAGAGTAATTAAAGAGTGGAACAAACATCAAGGCAGGCCCTGTTCTTCAGTGTCTCCAAATGAAAAACAAATGCCTGTTAGAATAAGCTTTAGTCACATGCAGATTACAAGGCTCCTTACAAGGGTAAGAAACCTGCCTGCCTGTAATTCAGCAGAGGTGAAACTAGGTAATCTGGTGTTTTCTTCTAGCTTTAAACTTTGTGAACGGACCTTGGAAAACAGCTCTGACCAAACACCCATTCATGTGGCTCAGTTCAGCTGAGAAACATTCTTGTATAGATGTAGAAAAAACTGGCAAAATTAATAAAACAGGGCATCAAAGAAACAATGTTTTTAGAGTGAGGCATGAGGGTAGAAATTAATGTAGCAGACACAAGTAATAAGTAATCACATGTAAAATATGTTAACTGCATGTATATTTATATACATCATAAACAAAGCAAAGGGCAATTAAAATGAGTGATATGTTAAAAGGAGAACTGTAACATCAAAGAAATAAAAAATAGTTTAAATTGAAAAAGCAATGGAAAGAAGGGTAGAAGAGGGGGATTAAATTGATAAACAAGGTAAAAAAATAATGGACTAAACAAACAGAAGAGATACAAGCTGTTCAAAGTTACCCCAACCAATTTGTACTCCTAGCTTCAATTAATGATGATTACTCCTACCCCTGGGAGTGTCTGCAGCTTACTGCTGTAGTTTTTCAATCATTTTTACACACCAAATCACACTAGACATCCTCACGCTTTTAAAAATGCTTCTTGAGTTTGTCTCTGCCACAGCACTGACAAGAACAATGAAACTTCACTGGATTCAAATCCAGATGTAGAAATGTCCAGCCTTGATTTACTGCTGCTTTATTTTTGAGCTTGATGAAATAGGGGAGGCCAGCAAAGCTTAGGTTGAAGCTGACTTTGAAACTAACAGAAGCTTTATGCTGCAGCTGGAGTTATGGCAATGTATGTATTAATGAACTCAACCCAGTCGGCTATTCTCTATGGGCAGCTCATGCTATTTCTCCTAGACTGTTTCACAGTCTGGCTGCTTCCACTGCTGCTGCATCCAGTGGAATAACCCACATGGTGTACATGGAGCCATCTGAATAAAATGTCTCTTAAACATTGAAAACAAGGCACTCTGGTCTTACTGACTGATAAACAAGGTGAGGCAAGGTCTGCACTCCTAACTAAGATTAAAATACCTGTACTCACTGTTTTTATGTATCAGGGTAACTTCTGCATCCCTGTTGCTTTAAGATTAATCTTCCTTCTCACCAATGAATAAAAGGCTAATTTTAAACAGTAATTTCTCATATTCAAAATTTATCAGTGGTTAGCTAGCATGTGAGATTTCACCCTTTAAATTTTAAAGACTCTAGCATTATGTGAGGAAAGATGTATTGTTAAAGAAGTTTAGAAAGTTTAAAAAAAACTTAGGACAACTACTTCAAGATAATTATTTTACAGAAATTATTTGTTCTCCAGGTTGATAAGATTAAGCCATACTATTCTAATGGTTACATTAAATAAACAGATGCCTGCCAAATAAACAGATGATATCACGTTACACTATGCCAGCTAATTCATCAGTGACCAATTGCAATGGTGTTTGCTTCCTTACCTCCTGCGTGCCTGCCTCTGGGTCTGTCATTCCAATCACAGAGAAATCCCCGTATCTGTCTCCATTGGCATCAATGGACACCTGCCCTGCAATACCTAAAGAATGGCATGTGAGGAATTAGAAAATTAATTAGTTAAAATACTGATCCTTTCCAAGGAAAACAAAAAAACAGTGGACAGGTTTTTACAGACCGATATGACAGGAAATCTCATCAGTTTCCCAGCATTTTTGTTGGCATTCCAAAAGAAATTGTAATTTCATCTCGGTGTCTGCATTCCTGAATTCTTAACATTTCTCCTATTTAAATATCAAATGTGTGAGACTGTTTGGGGAATATGTGAGAAAAATCTAATCCAAAAGCCAGCATGCAAGAACAAAACACAAATATATTTAATGTGAATTATTTACAGAGAGCCTAGCCCTGAAATATCTAATGATGTCTCAGTGAGGAGAGTCCAGCTTATGTGCTGCAGAGGATGCAAAGGCACAGCTCTGTGCCCCACAGACTGACAGGGTGGTGCACCTATACAGCCAGTCCAGTGCTGTTTCTATCTGATGGGGTACTGAAGGGGATGCGGGTAAGGGGCATCGTGTGTAGTACATATGCATTAAGTCTGAATTCATTTACATAGGATTAACTGCATAACATGGTACTGTTTGTTTTATATCTTTAGACCCTCAGTTTACTTCCTTCTTTTATAAGCTCTCAGAAACTTTAGGGAAACCAGGAATCATAGACTCAGGATAACTCAAGTTTGAAGGGGTTTCAATAGGTCTCGAGACCAACCTCCTGCTCAGAGCAGGGTCAACCAGGATTTCAGAATAGGAGGATGCTCTTGGCTTTATCTGGTCTTCAAAACTACCAAGGATTTTCATCTGCACAGCCTCTCTGGGGCAACTTGTCCCAACTGTCATGGTGAATAAACACTTCCTTCCACTCAGTCTGAACCTCCTCTTTCAATGTATGTCCTTGTGTACAAAGAGCATGACTCCAACTTCTTGCAGTGTTAGTCAAACAGGTTCTTAAAAATCCATCAAACAATACCAATTAACTATGATGAAGACATTGTAAGACTTTGCTGATATGCTTTATCATCACAGATATTCTCCAGTGTGATCCTCCCACTGCTTGATACCAAATGTATTCACACCAGTGCAAGTCAAACAGGCATTATTATACCTCCATGTTACACCAACTACGTGACTAGACCAGGCACAAAGCAGTAGAGAATCAGGTTCTCAGTGACTGTAAATCAGAAGAGAGAGGTCAGATATTCAGCAATGAGTATAAATTCCCTTCAACATACCTAATGATAGCAAACATGGAACAGATTAACACACCTCCATTTATCTTGCCTCTTTTCCCATTTAGTGACGTCAGGAACATTTAAACTTACTGTGATTTTCAAAACATGTAGTGATCACCAAAAGATTATTGTCAAGCATATGTTTCATTATAACAATACAGAAATCAAACAATTGTCAGTTTTATTGCTGCAGGAAAACAGAAGGGATATAACAAACACTTGACTGTGAAAGCACTGGAAAAGGCCACTGTAAAAAGCTGCAACATCCTTGCCTACACAGCAATTTGGATTCTGGATCTGACAGGAGGCATTAATTGGAAAAGACACCTTCCTAGCCTAAGAAAGCCAAAACTCAATTTTTGGAAGTAGGTACTAAAATTTGCTGAAACTCAGAATTCCTATGGGATTTTTTTAAATGGGAAAGACTGATTTTTAACTTTTCCATCTGAATCAAAACAAAGAGTTTGAAACGTCAACATTTCCTGCAATATTCTTCCTTATGAAACATACTTAGGAAATTTCGGAACAGCCTTAATGAAGAACTGTGTTTAGATGAAGGTGGAAGGATTTTATCTGGACTCTTTTTGCTCTATTACGTTAAATATCTACATATAGAAAATTTTGCTGCATTTTCAGAGGGAATGTCAGTGAACAGAAAATATGCTCCACAAAATGTGCCCTGCAGTGATACCAGGGTGTCTCTAACAACACAAGCAATAAGAAATGTTACATAAGAAAGCCTTATCCTTTCCTAAGCTCATGATGTTGCCTGTGCAGTTGTGGCTGGCAGACTGTGAACGTTGAAGAAAATAGCACCCACATCCTGCTGGAGTTCTGATGGGTCACCTATTCAGAGCAGGCTGTAAAATGAGGTGCCCACGCAATTAGATATCTAGATGCTAGCAGTTAAATTAATGTCATTAATGAAACTGGAGTTCTCATCACTGAGGCCTGCAAAAGTTTAAGTGAATTATAAAGCTTCAGTCCTGAAGTAGAGCCTGGTGGGTGTATGCATGGACCATACTTCTGCAGTGCTGCATCCACTTCAGAGAGGGACTTACAGGCAGAATAAAGGGATGTGATTTTCCTAAAAGGACTGGCTTGTAACACATCAAGTTAAAGGCCTCTTTCAAGATCAGTTTCATCCTTGTAAATTATGTCCAGCAAAGTACTGCCACCGGGAGGAGATGGCATACGACTTACATGGAATTTTGACCCTTTCAACAGCAACCTCACAGCTCAACTTGACAGCTACATTTTCAGAATAGCTGTGACAGGTCAGCCAGCAACAACGAACTGTTTTTCACAAATGAGGAAAGAGAACACTTTTTCCTCCTGGCTGGTTTTACAAGAAAGGTGTGAGAATCAACCATAAAAGACTTGAATGGGCATACCAGCTGGTGGCTTCCTGGAGCACAGAAGTAGGAGCAGAGAAAACACAGACAGGATGTGCTGGAGCATCTGTTCACACACCGGATAACCAGTGAGGCAAATTCTTAGATATCATAATCCCTCGGTTAAAACAGTGTGTTTTGGGAAGCCATAGTTGCAAAGGGAGGTCGTGGGACATCAAGCACCAACGCCAGCTGGTGCAGGGCTCGTTAGGGATCCTTGCATACCAGCGTAATTTAAAGCAACCCCTGCTGTTGCCTTAAACTGCCCTGGGGTCTCGTGTTCAGGCCACAATTTGAGAACAGAAAAAAGCTGCTGTCTTTCTTGCCTTTCTCCACTATGTGTAGTGTGTTCTCAGAGCAGAGAACCTGGCCACTGAGGTTGTTCTTACACATTCAAATTAATCATGCGCATCTTATCTAGGGGAAATGTTTCCTTTTCCGAGGCATCTCCATCAAAAATATTGCCAGTCCTACATCAAAAGATTGGAGTATTATAAGAGGTGGATGGGAATATTACTAAGAGATGGATGGGAATATGCTAAGAGATAGATGGGAATATGCTAAGAGATGGGTGGGAATATGCTAAGAGATGACAGATGAATACAGCAATCCTTGGTTTCTTTATTACAATCCGTACCTGGCATTGCTCTGCATCAGCAGGGTGATATACAAGTGATAGTTGCACTGCAGAATTGCAGCATTAGGCACAGAAAGGCACAGTGCTGTTCAGCTGCTGCCTCTGAGATAACACGCACAGCTTCTGAAAGGAGGCTGGGGAGAAATCCTTCTAGGGCCCAAAGGAGCCCTGTCAAGAAACAAAAAAAAAACTGGCACCTGCTTGCTTCTATCCATTCCCAGGCTTTTAAGATAAAAAAGTAAATGGAAAAAATGAGGCAATCTGAGAGCTAATAGATGCACATGAGTAAAGCGAGCAGCTGTAATCTTTTCAAAAACAAAGAAGGAGCCTGAGAAAATTATTGGTATTTCTTTACCAGATCAGTGAGGGTCATGAAATTGTTAGGAGTTTTTTGAGCTGAGTAAGACAGCAAGGGTTGGTTCAAAGAAAAAGTCAGGGTGGTGAGGTATGTGAGCCAGCCTTAGTGATGTGTATGGCTTCATATGGTTCTTTGCCTCTCATTTTAGAGTGGAATAGTCATGGGTCCTTACTCTGCACACAACAAAGATCTGAATTTTTTGACTCTGAAAGCTGGAATAACATATTAACTCTTACCTTCATATGTTCTGTTCCGTGTTTGCTGAACAATTTTTTCCCCATCTTTCTTACTGAAACCAAACTTCAGGACTTCCTGTAAAGCTAGAGCATAAAGAAGAATAGCATCATGGAATCCTTCCACAAACATGTTCACCTAAAAAAAAAAAAAAAAAAAAAAAAAAAAGAAAAGAAAAGAAAAAAAAAACAATGGCAATTGACACATGAAATACTTTTTTTCCCTATGGAACTGATTAACTAGAGAGAATCTCCAAATTAACCAAAATTACTAATTTGGAGGGTTATTTTCTCAACTGCTGGAACACAAAGGAATGTGTCTCAAAAAAACCCAGGGAGAAAATGGCAACTTTGACCCATTTGTAAAAATATTTAACCACTATCTGCTATTCTGAACATTCAAATCACATTTTAATGTTGTGTCTGAATAGCTCTGCAGATAGGGCAGAAATTTGCAGATCACAGTTCCCATGCCCAGATGCACAAATTCTGCAGTTGACCACATGAAATTCTGTAAGGTGCTCAGCACCCTCATCCCACAGCATTGACTGAGTCCTCCTCCCCCTGCACAGAGGACTTAGCACCTCTCAGGATTGGGAAGTATGTTCTGCCATGATTTTTTTTGGAGAGCGCAACTGGTGGATTTGCTTGTTTAATGATTACCACTTCCATTTCTGGCCCTTGCTCAGCTGAGCATCTCTCTACTAGCAAATGAGCAATGGAGAAAACTACTTACCCTCTACAGTAATGTGTTCTCTGGAACTGCCAGGAGAACAGTTTCCTGTCCTTTACAGTTTCTTCATTTAGTGACATGAAATGAATAAGAGGTTGCTTTCTAACCCTAATATAAAAGGAGACTGCTGCCCACCAACTCTGCCTCCCACAAGTCCATCTGGCAACCTAGAGCTTTTGGTCTGCATCAGTGTAACAGCAATCATTAAAAGCAGAGTGCTGCAGAAACATTACAAATTTGTTCACAGGAGCCTGCTGTGCTTCAGTGATGAAGCAATAATTATTTTAGGAGCTGAGTTCAGATGGAGACCCATCAGCAGAAGCAGACACAGATGGATTGAGCAGCACATGTATTCCTCTTCTGCAATCAGCAATTCACATCTCAGTAGTGCAATGCACTTTGGCTTGATGCACAATAATTCAGAATTAATTATCTTTTCAGCTGCAAGAAAGATGCTCCCATTCACTCACAGTTTCATTACAATGAAATCCTGACATCCTAGCAAATGCGTAATCAATGCTTATACCATCTTACGGAATCTCTTATTGCCATTTCCAGTGAACAACACACCTCTACAAATATACTCCTGGAGAGAAACAACATTTAGCTTACATTTCACTTTGGTGTATTGTGCTGGGTTTCTGTGGTGCGTTTTTTTGGCAGAGGGGGAGGGAGCTACAGCTGTGGCCCCTGTCAGAAGCTCCTTGAAGTTTCCCTGGCTCCAAGTCAGACACACCTCTGGCCAAGGCTGAGCCAATTAGTGATTGTGGCTGCACCTCTGTGGGAATGTATTTAAGGAGGGGAACCTGGGAGAAGGACTAACGCCCAGGTTGGTGGAAGGAAGAGGGGAGGGGCACAGCGCCAGAGCAGAGACTCCCTGTATTCCATGGTGAGACAGCAGGACCACCCACCCTAACATCCATGGAGGTCCACAGTGGAACAGAAGCCAACCTGAAGCCAGTGGAGGAGCCCACACCAGGACAGGTGTCTGAGCTTAAAGCAAGCCGGGACTCTGAGGGGAGAAGCGGCTCCCGCTGTTGTGGTTCGGCGCTGGGAGGGCTGCAACACGCGGGGGGGACCCACTCCAGAGCAGCTCGGGAGCTGCTGCGGCCCGTGGGGAGGGATCACGCTGGAGAAGGTTTGTGGAGGACTGTCTGCAGTGAGAGGGGAGCCCCGGGGAGCAGGGGAGGGATGTGTGGTGTTCCCCCACCTCCCGAGAAGGAAGGAGCAGGAGCTGACTGTGACCCCCATCCCCTGCCCCCTGTGCCGCTGGGGGAGGAGGGGGAGAGATGGGGAGCAGAGCTGAGCCCGGGGAGAAGGGAGGGGTGGGGGGAGGTGTTTTTGGGTGTGGTGGAGCTTCTCACTGTCCCACCTTGTCTGTTAAGTGTTGTCTTTGTTGGTGTTTGAATTAAAGTGATGTTTTCTTTTCTTCCCCTAACGAGTTTGTCTTTTGCCTGTGACTGCAACATGTGAGCATTCCTGAGCCACTTTGGCTTCATTTTCTCCTTCCCATTCCTGATGGGGGAAAAGGTGAGTGAAGAGCTGCTTAGTGCTCAGTTGCCCTCTGGGCTCAAACCACAACACTTATCTAAACAATTTAAAATGTTGCTAAATAAAGTGCTACACTAATTCTCACAGTTTTAGCTGGACATTAAAAATGTTAAAAGATAAAAACATGTAGCCAGTTAAGAAAATAACTGCTCCATAGATAAAAAGTATTACATAGTTGATTGGCTAAGCTGAACTAACCAAGCCCCTGGTAATGTAACTATATGCAAGACATCCCTTCACTCTTAAACCAGTTGCCAAAAGTAAGGAGAATTTTAGATTTATTTACTGATAATACAAGAGTTTACATTGCTCTGATATTTAAAATTGGGCTTTTAGATAACTCCAATTTATGTTTCATTAAGAAAATGTACCACCAGTTTAGGGGAGGAGTTCACAGTGCTACAGAAGGCACAAAACAGCTCAGAGCACTCACAGCCAAAGACTAAAAGACAGCTGCAGTTATTCTGACCTAAGAAGAAAGCATGAAAGAAGAGGTGAAAGACAGGCTTTTGGTGGAATAACAAGAGCTGATGGACAGAGTGCGCAGTAGGACAGGATCTGCCAGCAGGGGGGTTAACTTTCCAGAATTGAAAAAAAAAAATACAAACCAAGAAACCACAAAGCTCAACAACTGCTTTATGTGCCAGCATTAGAGTCCAAGTGGCCTGTGGATGATCAAACATGGCCTTTCTTGACATGACACTTATTCTCTCAGGAGAAATGAGTCTCTCTAGTTGCTTTACCTCCCTGCTGGCTGATTTACAGCTCGTGGCTGGCATCTGTTTCAAGGAAAGCTGTTTGTCACTTCCTTTGTCCATGGCAAAGACCTCTATGTAACACAGCAACCTTCAAAATCCATTTTGTCAGCTACTTTGCTCTATCTGAAATCTACCCGTGCGACCAGCCTGAAAACCCTCCTCTAGACACTGCACATTTGCCAGATAAACCCTGTCAAAACTCAATTGGCAGTTTGGGGGGTTACTGCCACAGCTCCTTGCCTTGACTCTTGGCTAAAAGCCCTGACATTACATATTAAAAAATCATATTAGAAAACCATCAGAATACACGCAAACCCCAGAATTTTATCTTATGTTGTCAAATAAGGTGAAACTTATGGTAATTCCTGCCATTTCAAATCTTCTTCTAAAAGAGTAATATTTACTGTTTGCAGGTGAGATCACACCTACACTCCCCAGCCAAACCTTATGTTGGGCACACTGTCTAATTTTCACATTATTCCAGCACATGTTCAAGCACCAGTTCTTGAAAGGGAATACAGGATGACATGAAGGGCATAGAGTTTTCCTGCACATTGTCTTGCTCAATCATAGAATTTGCCATGTTCCTACACAGAGAATGGGTTGCACTATGTATAGGACTGCCCTAACATAGAAGGGAGAGAACACTGGAGATGGGAGGAATATTACAGTGTGAAGTAATGGCTGCATATAACTTTGAAGGGATTGCTCTTTTTTTGCTCAATTTTCTACCTGTCTAGGGCTGACTTAGGTTCATTTTGCAGCCCTGTTTCCTGTGACTGTCTCCAATGGATCCTCTGAGTAAAAAGCGAAAAATTTGTTCCATCTGATGCCACTCTTGACGTATTAGAGCAGTGTCCCAAGCCATATAGTCCCAGGAATTTCTTTCTGGACAACACTAACTCTGTTAATGATACCTCATGTATCCTCATGAATGTGAAGGATTTTCTTTCTTCCTTTTTTATTATTTTAACATAGCTTCTGTTTTACATTCAATCCTATCAGAAATGATGAAACAGACTGACACCAAATTCTCATCAACAGTTTTTACACTTTTTGGCCTGTGTTTATTTTAATTTTAGAATATCTGACAGTAAGAATAACTAATACTTACAAAAAAACCCCATCCTTCATTTGCTGCAGGAAAAGGGTTAAAAAGGGTTAGAACAAGTATGTGTTCCATTAATGTTTCAAATAGAGATAAGCGTAACTGTGAAGATGTCTTCACAGATTGCTTGAAAGTCTCCATGGTAAGTAATAATGTGTGGTTCAATATTAGACAGCCCTCAGGACAAAACTAAACAGATTATAAAAGCTGCTACAGATCCACTAATTTTGTAGGTAATTAACAGTTCTTTTAGCTGAGCTCTAATAAAAGGCAGAATTTTTTGATTATAGTATTTTTCACCTTGAATTATGCTATTTTCTTTAATTACAGATGCAAGCTGAGCTCCAAATGATGTGATCATAATTTGCAAGTCAGGTCTACTAATATGTTGCTGTTGCTGACCCATATCGCACAGCAGAGCCACCCCACAACCTGTGTCATCAGCAATGCGAGTGGCAGCTGAGGAGCTGCCAGCTTTGCTGAACATGATTGGAGACTGCAATACAAATACGTGGAACCCCTCCGATGAGAAATCTTCTGTATTACTTTCACATCCTACTCAAGGTACCACATAACTAAAATGCAGGTAAACTAACTGCATAGTTGGGTGAGGTAAGCACCTTTTAATTTCCTACATTTCTACTCTAATTAAGCGTTTTCCACCAGAAAACCAAACCAAACCAACAAAAAAAAAAAAGCACCAAAACAAAACAAAACAAAAAAGCCCTCCCTGGAAATTACATGAATAAATTTTACACAGTTTAAAGTTATAGTTCCCCAAGCAGCTATAGCGTGACCACACCATTCATATATACCAAGGTGTTAACAGCATACACAGCAATGCAAAATACTACCGATGTGGAAGACGGCCAAGATACAGCTATGTAGGACTCAGAATTTTCCATATCCTGCCCACTGACTGTTAAGTAAGCTTACTGTCTTCCATCTGAAACTGCCCAGCTCTGAATCACAGCAATTACAGCAGTTCA